TGGTCGAAACCTTCACCTCTTCTTCCCCTGTGGAAAAGTCAGTCATGGTCTAGTTATGGGTGACTAGATTTGTTAACAGTCCCTTTAAAAATGATTTCAATATTTGGAATACTGATACATATATAAAATACATGCTTAATGGCTGGAATCTGGGTGTGAAACAAGACATGAATTTTAAAATATAAACTTATCAAGTACCTAGAAAGTAGTTACACTATAAACACACCCTTCAATTTAATACTATGTCAGATATAAGAACAAATATAATAGATTTAGGATTATAAATAGACAAAAAGGAAAAAAAAAAAAAAAGACCAGGAAAGCCATTCTTTTCCAAGCCAATTGGACCCCTTTTAAATTCAGATACTCCTAACAGTATTTTGTGAAAAAAATTAAAAATAAGTTCACAGATGTGAAAACATGTTTTTAAAAGGAAAAATGACAAATCCATGTTTTAGAGGTAGAAATTATGTTTATAAAAAATAAACAAAAAGATATAAATATTAATTCAGCAAATTATCATATAGCATCTGAAAATTCACTGTGTACTTCTGAAGGAATTAGAAAAGAACAAAATGCTAACAATACAACGATCCAATTGACTGAAAGCGAGATGACTACTTCTAGGTCAGAGAACTATACACAAAATGAGATCAGTTCTCCTAATTATAATTGATAATTACTGGACTGCAAGTGACTTGTTTCACACATGACTCAAAATCCAATCAAGTCACTGTTAAAATAGCTAATTCAGTAATAAAATTTAAAGAAAAATGTCCTCTCACAAGTAAAATTTGAATAAACAAAAACATGAAAAAAATCCAATCCTAAACAGTTTCAAGTATTTCTCTAAGTATATCTTAAAACAACAATGCTTACAGACTGAGACTTACTATTTTTTGTTTTCCAAACAATTTTTAGCATTATGGAATAAAAACATCTTGGCAGAGAGTTCTTTGAAAAACAAATCTGCAAAATTACATTTGGAAATACTTAAATGACAAATTTAACTGACAACATGAAGAAAGACTCAGCCTTTAGAACAGGTTATTTCATAATTTTTCAGTAAATTGGCCAAGATTCTATAAACTCCAAGTACACAGCAAGGAGGCTGTGCAGAGGAAATCTTAGAGTTCTTGGTGAGAACATGGTACTAATAAGGACCACACAAGAGATTAAATTTTATCAAGTTGATAAACTTCATTCTATTTTGTAGCTATAGGCCATATCCCTGAGCTTGGCCAATTGTCTCATTAATAGATACTGTTGATAAAAAGGGACCTGCAAGTGTGTGAGAGCAACAATCAATTACTATGGGAAGAAAGCCAAGTTAAAGCACATGCCAGTGATCTTCATTTGTGAAGGTGAACATCAATGTTGTAGTGGAAAAACATTTCAGTTTGAATGTGGGATCTGGGTACTTGTCCTAATTCTACTACTAATTGAATGTTTGACCTTTAACAAATTATTTAACCTTTCTGGAACACAGCTTTGCTTTTTCTAAAAGAAGGAGCTGAACAAGGTAAGTCACTTTTTAGGAAAAGTCACTTCTTAAACAAAAGCACATGGTTCCAATAGCAAAAGAGATCTGAATGGACCTACTATAACTGTCCACTAATCAAAGTTTTTCCCCAAGAATATTTATTTCAAAAATCCTTCTAGGCTTAGCAAACTGGATGTGCAGCCAAGAAAATGCTGCTAAAAAGATTTTACCTAATTAAGAAAATAATGAATTTTAAACAGCAAAAAAAAAGTTTTCATGTAGGCATAAGAAATGGAAGCTGCATTTCTGTCAAACCCCTGGCAACTGTCCTTCCCATGATAGGTTTCAGATATATCAATTTTTAATAATTTAACTGAAACAAACCAAAACTAAAAATTTAAATACAAATATATAATAAATATAGACATGGTATCTGTAGGATATATAGGTGACTGATACCTGAGTATTTGCTCCTAAAGGTCAGGGACCCTGTTTTGCTCTACATATCTAAAGAATAAATTAATAATACATGCCTTTTCCAGTGTTGAATATTGTCTAAGCATATCTTAAAGTGGCAGGTATCAGAGAAACAGTAGGTACTCTCCATTATGAAGACTTCACCAACAGCTACCCTGGTAAGATACCATGATATTCACTGCAGGATACAAAGTTGAACCTATTTCAATAGTTCAACTCAAGTACAACTGATTTACAACTAGGGGTGGGGGAGGCAGATATTGCCTACGTATTAAATTGCTTCAAATTAGACACAGTTAAAATGTACATCGTTTTCCAGAATTCCACTTTCTGTCATTTCTAATTGTTACTGAAAATCCTAAATGATCTGGCTATAATTATACAACTATTCTGTTTTGAGGTCTAGCACATTCATCTTCCTGAGATATTTGCCAAATATTTATAGGACATGAGAATATTCTGTGTAACTCTTAATAACAATTTTAAATATTTTTTTCATTAAAACTAAAATTTCTCTTGTCATCAGAGACTTAAAAATAATCTAATAATAAGCTTAATCATAAGTCACCATTTAAATACCAAACAAGTATGCATAGTCAAAAACTGAAAATCTGAAATAACAAACTCTCCCAACCTCCCACAAAATACAACAATGATTCAGAACCTACAAGTTGGTGACTTCATTCTTAGAATTTCTGGGAAAAAAAAGTATTTTATGCTCTATGGTTGAGTATATGTTAAAAAGAAAACCCACAAAGATAAGACCATACTTTAATGCCACATTTTTTTCAGAAAGTATCTAGTTTAGATGAAGATTTCAAATGACTAACATGAGGACAACTACACTCACAAATCAGTAATTATTCATTACCACTGTGGCATTTTCACAATATATACTGGCTTGAAATATTTGGGTTAAAATTATTCCTTTTGTGCTAATGGACAATATGGTAACTGTGAAATCAGAAGAACAGATAACTTACTGAAGATAGTCACGTAATAAGTCAAATAAAAGCATACAATGAAGACAGCTAAGAACTGGAATCCCACAAAGGCACCCTTCTTCCTATCATATCAACTCCACACTGTGCTGCCTCACTGTCAGAGCTCCCCATGTTCTTGTCTATTCTATTTATACAATACATAAGCACCTCCCATTACTGAAGGCAGTTCTATTGCCTCTTAATGAAATGACATACTAATCCTGCCTCCACGCCTTTATTCAGGAGTTCCCATCAGTATAAAAGGTCTTTCTCTTTTTCCCACTAACCCAATTCCAAGATACCATAGTACAGATCAATTCCTATTTCTTCAGTGAAGCCTCCCCAACAATTATAGGCTCAAATGAGATCTCTCAGATTCCAGTTATCATATAGTTACCACTCTCATACATAATATTAAATTTATTTCTTCAACTACACTGCAAAATACCTGGAAATAATATCCATATTTTAGAGTTCTTTTACATTACCCACATGGCCTAGTTCATTACTGGGCAAACAGGAACCCAAATATTCACTATAACTGGTTTAATATTTTACTTTTAAATGTTTAGGATATTTAGGGAAACTTAACTTTAACTCTTAATGTTATAATCAGTTATAAGATACACTACTAGTCATTAAAATGCCACATTTCTAAATGATTAAAGCAAAACAAAACAAAATTACACTCTAATATGCTGTCTTGAATGGAAGAAAAAAACGCAGTATCAAGAACTGAGTACTTAAAGTGTTTCACAAGTGAGTATCACGTAGAAGGAGAAGATTGAAAAATGTCACTCTGAATTACCTACTAACTACCATAATCAAATGAACGAATATCATGAGTCCCACTGATATACAAACCAATACATTGGTGTATCATGCTTATGTAAATTAACTTCACTGTATCAACTGTTAAATTCACTATATCCAAAGTCACAAACCATATTCTCTTAACCCACCTACTTGTCTTGAAAATGAAATGGCCAAAGAGCCAAAGAAGTCTGATGGATCTCTTCAAATTCACCTATCAACCTGGCTAAAAACAAGAGAACAAACGACTTGCTGGTAACAGCACATTATTACAGTAAGACCGTGCCATGCCATATCTTAAAGGCCATGACAAGGGATAACAATAAATTTTACGAATTATGTAACACAGTGAGGGACTATTCTATCCTACTTGAGAGAATCAGGAGAGGAACAAACTCTCTCTTTTACCAGTCATCTCTAAAGCCCAAATTAAGTAAATTAAAAAAAAAAAAAAAAACTACTAATAAGAAGGATTCCTTTAGATATAGAAGTCACTTGACCTGATAAATGTTATATAGGACCTTAAAACCCCAAAGTTCTGAAACCTTCAAGGGTAGCAGTACAAAACCAGAAGTATTCTGGTATCACTTATGAGGAACCTAGTATTTTCCCCAGAAATAAAAACATGACAGACCAAAAGGGAAAGTATCTCTCCTTGAACAACTGTTTTCACAGAAAGTATACACATAGGTCTGTGAAACATTAATAATCAGAGTTCTCAAATATTAAGTACTTTATTAACATAGAGCACAGTTTGTGTGTGTGTTTGCACGTGTGTATCAGTCAAAATAAGTAACTGCCAAAAGTAGTTAGAGAGTGGCTTCATCCCTCATGCTCTCACTAATTACCATTTCAAAAATTTTTTTTGAATCAGTTTACTTTTAGAATGTATAATTGGAATTTGTACCATGGTGTTGGACTTTCCAGCACCATAATTTCAGAGCACATTTTTTTCTTTTTTTTGTGCATTTATATTCCACATGAAAGTTTGGTAACTACCCTGTTAAATAAAATGCTTCCAAGTTATAACTAGGTATAATACTCCACCATCCTTATAAAGCTCAATATTACAAGGCATCCATCCAATTAAAAATTTTTAAATTATGATAAGGACTTTTTTTTCCCCATAGAAATTTCCAAGAATAATAAGTATTCTCTGTTATTCAAAAATTCCCACCCTACCCACCCAACAACCTGAAGGCATGAGTTATTCACAAATTCTCAAAGGCTATAAATGAACCTACCTGCTATAGGGATCCCTCCCAGACCTGTGTTGTGCTGTGGCGGGAGATTCAAGTCCAAGAAATTACTATTTGAGGTGGGGTTTGCTGTGTGGTTCAAGTGCATGATGCTATTGCGTGGAAAGGCCATCCAAGGATAGCGGGCTGCCTGGCCTGGAAAACTGAATGAATTATAAACTGCTCGGTGCTGCTGAAATTGAGGGAACCTCTGTGGCAAGACTGAAAAGGTACTATTGAGAGAGTTGGCATTTGTCGGTGCAGCAGGATGTAGGAATCCAGAGCCCGGACCTTTGGCCATTGTAGTGTGTGAAGAGGAGTTCTGAAGAGATGTGGGCGAAAGGGAAGGCTGGTCTTGGACTGACAGTTCCTTTTCAATCAGGTCTGCTAAGGCTTTTCGAGTGACATCAAAGGGATCAAAACCCAAGTCATCCTCTGGTTGTTTAGAAGAACCAAAGCCAAACGCTGCTTGCCAGTCTGTAGAGGATGATACTGGGATTGTTTCTGTTGGGAAGACAATTAGTGATAAATTTAAAATACATAGCTCACTTATGTATTTAATGAGTATCCACACTAGTGAAAGTTAAACATCATAAGATAAAGACAAATATATCCAAAATCTGTATGATTTCTTAGCACATTAAGATTATAATATTATAAAAGGTCTCATATACTTCTACCAATGATTTCATCTTAAGTTACCAACTTCAAAAACTGAATGATATAGACTGATTTTGGTAATCAAAGAAAACAAAGTACTTGAAACCCAAATTACACCTTTAGCTATTCATAACCAAAACCTGGAGAAAGTCATTCAATGAAATAAGGTAATAAATATGATGTAACAGAATTCACTTAGTAAAGTTTATTTTTTTTAAATTTTTATTTTATTATGTTATGTTAATCACCATACATTACATGATTAGTTTTTGATGTAGTGTTCCATGATTCATTGTTTGCGTATAACACCCAGTGCTCCATTCAATACGTGCCCTCTTCAATACCCATTACCAGGCTAACCCATCCCCCCACCCCCCACCCCTCTAGAGCTCTCAGTTTGTTTCTCAGAGTCCATAGTCTCTCATGGTTCGTCTCCCCCTCCGATTTCCCCCCTTCATTTTTCCCTTCCTATTATCTTCTTTTTTGTTTTTTTAATATATATTATTTGTTTCAGAGGTTTATTTTTTAAAATATATTTATCAAAGACAAAGTGTAAGTAATTTTGAATATATGCTTTATATAATCTAGGAAAAAATAATGTAACAATGAAAAAATATCTACTTAAACTTTATGTATTTTTTAAAACTGTCTGTTCCGATAACAGGTACTATATTTTCAATATTAATTTTATGCCATCCTTCACATTAATAAGAAAACTTACAATGAATAAAAATGAAAATGGCTCAAAATGCCAAAATATAACTTTCAATATTAACTAACACACCTCTTCGTCAGCTGGAGAAAACAAAAATCTTAAATTTAACTATATAAACACAAATACGATTAAAAACGTAAGCCCTTAAAAATTCTTAGAGGAATAAGCATTTTATTACCAGAAAAATGATCTAACCCTTGATTTCTGGAGAAATCTGTTAACACATTAAGTCCTAAGTCATACAGCTACTTATCTAACCATCCTACTCCATGCCCTTTAAATGTTTACAATTTTATGAAAAAGGGAGTGGGGGTGCTTAAAGGGGTAAAAACACATTAAGCAAGGTCTCATTTCAGCCTGAGTAAAATTATTAACATGCAGTAGTATTGTTGTATACCTGATGTGAAGAGACTCTGTGGCTCTGGTGCTGTAGGCCAGTCACTGGATGTCTGTGGGGAGCTGGGGAAAGGAGGAAGCCCACTTGGGATCGGGTTGGGATGGCGAAAGTTATCTGAGAATAACGACTGTGACTCAGTTACTGCCCCTTCAAAAGGAGACCGTGCACTGTGATTGGATGAACTGATGGGGATGACTGGATTGGATTTTGATAAACCAGGTGGTGGTGAAGGCGTATCACTGTTAGATATCTAAATAAAATAGGAAAAGAAAAGAATAATCAATAGACGTTTATACACTTTAATAAGCTGCCATCAGAAAGGCTTGTAACAAAAGGCATTACAACAGTGGTCTTCAAACTGGGGTGCTTAAACACTTCTTTATGAGAACATGAATTTTTAAAAAATCCATCAATTACATATGTACTCTTTTCTAAAACTGATTCCTTCTTGAAAAGACTAAGCCAGTCTCCTCTCCTTTCAGAACCTATCTTCTCTCACTTTACAAACTATTGCTCACTCTTTGGGATCTAACTATAGTAATTTGACCAAGAGTGAAAATTTTATGAGAGCAACAAAAATATTATTAGAAATATTCAGACTGGGGGCACGTGGGTGGCTCAGTCAGCTAAGCGGCTGCCTTTGGCTCAGGTCATGATCTCAGGGTCCTGAGATCGAGCCCCGAGTCGGGCTCCCTGCTCAGTGGGGAGTCTGCTTCTCCCTCTCCCTCTGCTGCTTATCTGTTTATGCTCTCTCACTCACACTCTTTCTCCAGTAAATAAATAAAATCTTAAAAAAAAAATATTCAGGTTGGTGATGAGAGTGACTAATGACTAGACTGTTTTGCAAACTAGGTGATTCCCAATACTTAAGTTTTTTTGGTTTTTTTTTTTTAAGATTTTATTTATTTGTTTGTCAGGGGGAGAGAGAGAGTACAAGCAGGGGAAACAGCAGGCAGAGGGAGAAGCAGGTTCCCCACTGAGCAGGGAGCCCGACTCAGGGCTCGATCCCAGGATCCCGGAATTATGACCTGAGCCAAAGGCAGACGCTCAACTGACTGAGCCATCCAGGCCCCAATACTTAAGTTTTAAACAAAATGGAAAGAAGATCTAATCACGTTATTTCTAAACACATCATTAAAAATAATTTTTGTAATAAATCTTTATGATTCTTAGGTATTTAACTCAGAAAGAGTTCAAAAATTTGATACTGAGATAATACTCTTTCTTCCATCCTCAGCACTGACATTTTCAAAAATGAAAACATGACTAACATTGCTGTTGAAACTTGTCTCCTTGTACCAACAGGTAATATTCATCCATGGATACACGAAAACCAATTTTATTTATTTATATATATATTTTAAGATTTTACTTATTTATTTTAGAGAGAGAGCACACGCACTTGTGCATGAGTAGGATGGGGCAGAGGGAGAAGGAGAAGCAGACTTCCTGCTGAGCAGGGAGCCTGACACGGGCCTCAATCCCAGGACTCTGGGATCATGACCTGAGCTGAAGGCAGGTGCTTAACCAACTGAGCCACCTAGGTGCCCCATGAAAACCAATTTTAAAACAGCCCTATCCATATTTCATTAAGAAATAAATTTCTAATATAGTTTTAGAGTTTGTGTTTAATAACTAATTTTCATCAAAATCTGTATTTATGTAAGTTGCTTTGATCAAATCAAAACTATGAATAAAAATTCAGAAGAAAGAAAGTTGGGGGACGCCTGGGTGGGGCAGTCAGTTAAGCTCTGACTCTTGGTTTGGGCTCAGGTCATGATCTCACGGTCCTGAGATTGAGCCCCACAATGGGCTCTACACTCAGGGGGGGTCTGCTTAAGTTTCTCTCTCTCTCTCTCTCAAGTAAGTAAATAAATCTTTAAAAAATTTTTTAAAAAGAAAGAAAATTGGCATTTAAAGCCTTCTGTCAGAAAAAAATAGTTTCCAATTGAAAATTCCCATCTATTTTTGAGAGAGGTATATGCCTGTCAAGAATAAACTATATTATATTAAGATAAAATTCTGTAACAGCAGAAGTAGAAGAATGAGGTCAAGAAGAACACAGAATGATATAAAATTTGATTGTTTACAAAAAAGTGTGTATTTTTTTAAAATGAATGACAGAGCACAAAATATTCTGATATTTGAATCTCTTAGATACTTATTAAAAAGCAATGTAGTGCTTTTATTTAAAAATACCAATATTTATAATATCCTGAAAATTATATCCTTTACAATGATTCTTCAGTTAATATGAAAAATATCTTTAATGTTAACCTAAAACATACAAAGGATATACTGATTTTCAAATTCTTTTATGGAACCTGAGTAAAAATTCTGGAAAAGCAGTCTTTTTTAGATCTCTAAGTTTCTCACAAACATTGTGGGGAACTGGCCATTCTTTATGGAACAGATTAGAACTATATTTTTCTGTACCAATATAAGAAGGTATACAGAAACTTATGCAGTGAAAAACTAGCACCTAGACAAGATGATACAAAGCAGTATACAAAGATCAGAACCTCACTCAGTATCAATGTGGATACAACTTTGAACTATTCGGTTTATTATTTCAAAGCCCACAGGCGTTTGGGGGAAAGGGAAAACTGTTGGGGGCAAGAACACTGTGAGAAACAGAAAATTAAAGCTGACAACAAGCAACAAGGGGAGCACATAGCAGAGAAACAACTCTTAAAATCAAGAATGAAGAAGGCATGCTAGTCTGAGACCATTTTGGAGTAGGGTCAAAAAGACCAATAGTATCAGTAGATTCTTAGGACACTAATATATTGCCACACAGTACAATATAACATGTGGTCATAAGGATAATTCGGAGTCATCAAGAAAGGGTTAAATTGTACTCTAACACAGAATATTCTGTGGAAGAAAGGAAGACTAAGTATAATAGATTTTAAAAAGATATCCACTAACAGTATTTTTACTTTTTTATTTATTTATTTATTTATTTGAGAGAGAGAGAATGAAAGAGAGAGAGCACATGAGAGGAGGGAGGGTCAGAGGGAGAAGCAGGCTCCCCGCAGAGCAGGGAGCCCGATGTGGGACTCGATCCCAGGACCCTGGGATCATGACCTGAGCCAAAGGCAGACGCTTAACGACTGAGCCACCCAGGCGCCCCACTAACAGTATTTTTAAATTGTTTCCGTATTTAAAGTATTTTCCACTACCCAGAAAATTCACTTGGATAGAATGCCATTTCAGGGAATGGAAGATGAATGAAGCGATACAGAATCAAAATCTTACCTGCTGGGAATTATCACCATTCCCTATACTGAGAGAATCTGAAGGTTTGTCAATGGGGCTGTAAAAAGAAAAAACACACCAAGTAAAATCAGAGTAAAGTCATTCTCACACAATAAAAACAAACTCCCCAAAGCCAGAAAAATAGACATTTTATTATCTTAACATTTGTTGGTACACTATGATATAAAGATATCAGCTGAGATGTTGAGGATACAAAGAAATATAAGATCAAATCCCTACCCTTGAGCAACTTACATTCTAATTAGATTCTCCAAAAACAATGGGTGAAATAATAACTTATGAAAAAAAAAGGTACTGCTTAATATGAGTATTATTGTAGTAGGTCAAAAATTTAATCCATTATTCAGTTTTGTGCACACGATAAACACATTCCCCATTAAAATTCTTGACATAATACTCACCTATTTTTCCAGGTGTTTAACAGAGGGCATAAAAGTCACTCAAATGTTCTCCACAGGTTCTTAAGAGCAATACATTTCCTTTACTGCTTCAATAGCCTACTTACAACCCTAGAGAAGGCATACGTGTGTGTATAAATGCACACACACAAAACAGAAACTTTTGTGTAAACTATTTACTATTAAACAAAGACATAACACTTGATTTCCATATAGGGAAAATGCAGTACAACAGTAAAGTAACAAAGAATTGCTGACTTAACAACAAAATGAAATCTTTACAAGCATTACAACAGTGACCTAGTGAGGCATTTCCATAACTAACTGTATTTAACCTAGCACATGAATAAAAGATCAGGATCAGTACCCAAATACTAATATGATATAGTATTACAGCAAAACAAATTAAGATTCCAAATTTCGCAAAATTATTTTATTGGCTGTAAATATATACAAAGTTACCCTGACAGCCAGACAACTTTACTGGTACCACATTTAATTGCTCTAGAAAAATTTAACAAGGGCTAGGACCCAATCAGAATATCCAGTGTATCTTCTGCATAAACATCACCAGATGCTCGTGACTCCTGAAAAATAGGTCTGGAATTCACTAAACAGCACCTTTAGTTATTATTTTCACAAAATAGCAATAAATCAATTCATTTTATGGTCAAATGGGTATTACAAATAATTTTAAGATACAGCTTAGAGCCCACTAAGTTTGGAGACATTTGGGGAAATGAGATAGGTAAACACAAACAAACATCAACCAGTGCCAATTACTAAATGAATTGTTTAAACCATAAATATCATAGGTCTTTAAAAGAAAGAGAAGCCACCATAAGTGGGGCAATCAAGAAATATTTCCTAGGGGAGTTCAAATTTATGTAGGTCCTTAAAAAGATTTACACATTAGGAGAGGAAAGAACATTAAAGGTAGGAATAGCAAGTGTATCACACATCAAAAGGTCATAGATGGGTTGGGGAAAAAGTTAAGTAATTAGTTTAGCTAACACAGAGGATGATTTTGACAACAGTGGGAGGTATGGACAAATGGTAGACACCAGAGGCCAAGAGAAATTGTTAAGCACAGAAACAATATAAACAAAGCAGTATTAGAAAGATGATATGAGAGGAACTACACATTTTCTAAAAAACTTTTTTATTGTGGTAAAGCAGATTTCATATAAAATCTACTGGCTTAACTATTTGTAAGTGTACAGTTCAGTGCTATTAAATACATTCCACCTTGTTGTACAACCATCACCACCATCTATCCCCATCTCTTTTCGTCTTATAAAACTGAAATTCTATACCACTAAACTCCCCATTTTCTCCTCCCTCCCAGTCATTATAATTTTGACTACATACCTCACATAAGCGGCATCGTATTTTCCTTTCCTTTTCTTTTTAAAGCAGAATAATATTACTTTGTATTTATACCACATTTTGCTTGTCCGTGCATCTGGCCACGAACACTTGGACTGCTTCCATGTTTAAACTACTGTGCGCTAAGACGTAAGTGCACACATATCTCTTCGAGGTCCTGCTTTCAATTCTTTTTGCTGTATACCCAGAAGTGGAATTGATGGATCATATGGTAATTCTATTTTTAATTTTTGAGGAACTACCATACTGTTTTCCACAGTGGCTGTACCATTTTCTATGCCCACCCATAGAGCATAAGGGTTCCAATTTTTCCACATCCCTTCCAACTCTTTTCTGCTTCTTTTTTTACTGTTTTATTTTTTCCTCTCTTTTTTTAATGTTTCAAGTTTTTATTTACATTCTACTTAGTTAACACATAGTGTAATATTAGTTCCCAGAGAATTTAGTGATTCTGTTTTCTGCTTTTTTCATAGTAGCCACACTAATGCGTGTAAGGAGATTATCTCATTGTAGTTTTGATTTGCATTTCCTTAATGATTAGTGATGTTCAGCATCTTTTCATGTGCTCAATAACCATCTATCCTCTTTGCAGAAATATCTATTCAAGTCCTTTGCCTATTTTTGAATTAGGGTATTTGATTTTGTTGTTGTTGAGTTTTAAGAGTTCTCTATATTATTATGGTTATTAAACCTTTCTCAGATATGATTCGCAAGTATTTTCTCCCATTCTGTGGGCTGCCTTTTTACTATAGACAGTGTCTTCTTAGTCACAAAATTTTAAAAGTTCCATTAAGCTCCATCTATTTTTTCTTTTGTTACCTGTGCCTTTGGTGTCCTATCCAAGAAATCATTGCCAAATCCAATGTTGTAAAGCTTTAGTCATGTGTTTTCTTTTAATGGTTTTGTTGTGTGAAAGAACTTCAATCTAAAACAGAACTGGAGAATACAAGAGGGAGAATCTCACATATGTGCCCCCAGGAAGGTAAACTTAAGGACTAAAAGACTGAGTCCTCTGAAATGTCTGATTTACAGAAAGTGGATAGTGTTGAAATTTTCTTGGGTGGGAGGATAATCAGAGGTTGTTCTATATCGACCTTGGAAAGTTCTGCCAGAGGCTTGAATGGAACATGGCTCATATTGGATTGATCTCACATAATGGGATGACTTGAGCTTTGTTTGTGTGACAGGGAGGATTTCATTTGCTCAGGAAAATTTTCAAGGCTGGTTTCCTGTTTTTGATTTTAGCGGACTCTAACTGAACTCTCCCCTCTTTCCATTCCCTGCCCATAAATACAACCTACCAAAAATCTTCAATGGACTCGCCTGTAGCATGCTACAGTTTGTTTGTTCCAAACTGCAGTTCCTCTGCTATTCCTGAATAAACTTAACTCCTTGAGCTTGCTTAAGTTTCTCGCTTTATTTATAGTCAATAATTATTTTAGGTCTTACATTTAGGTCATTGATCCATTTTGAATTTTTGAATATGGTGTTCGGTAAGGGTCCAACTTCATTCTTTCACATGTAGATATCCAGTTTTCCCAGCACCATTTGTTGAAAAGACTTTTCTTTCCCCCACAGGGGAAAGGGTCTTGGTATCCTTGTTAAAAATCATTTAACCGTCTATGTGATGGTTTATTTCTGCATTCTCTTTTCTATCCTACTATGCTATATATGTCTTCATGCCAATCCCATGCTGTTTACGTTACTGCAGCTTTGCAGTTATGTTTTGAAATTAGGAACTGTGGGCCCTCCAGTTCTATTTTTTCAAGATTATTTTGGCTATTTGGGGTCCTTTGAGATTCCATATGAATTTTAGGAGGGGTTTTTCTATCTGCGAAAAAACACAACCAAACAAAAACTATCACTGGGGCACCAGGGTAGCGTAATTGGTTAAGTGGCCAACTCTTGGTTTCAGCTCAGGTCATAACCTCAGGGTGAGATCAAGTCCCGTGTTGGGCTCCGTGTTCAGCACGGAGCCTGCCTGATATTCTCTCTCCTTCTACCCCTTCTGCTTGTTCTCCCTCTCCCTAAAATAAGTAAATCTTTAAAAAAAAAAAAATCACAGGGATTTTGATATGGAATGCAATGAAGTGTAGACAACTTTGGGTAAAAGCAACATTTTAATAATATTGTCTTCCAATCCATGAACGTGGGATGTGTTTTCATTTATTTATGTATCTTCAGTTTCTTTCAGCAATGTTTTGTATTTTCATTGTATAAGTCATTTTAACTTCCTTGCTTAGGAATTCCTGAGTATTTTTTCTTGACACTATGGTGAATAGAATTTTTTGTAATTTCCTTTTCAACTATTCATTGTTCACACTTAGAAATACACTGATTTCTGTGTGTTGACTTTGTACCCTGTACTGAATTCATTTATTAGTTCTAACCATTTGTTTGTGTGTGGAATCCCTAGGACATTCTACATATTAACTATATTATCTATAAAAAGAGATAATATTACTTATTCTTTTTCTATTTAGATGTCTCTTCTTTTTCTTGGCTAATTGTTATGGCTTGAACATCCAATAATGTGTTGAATAGAAATGATAAAAGTGGGCATTTGCCTTGTTCCTCATTGTAGAGGAAAAGCTTTCAGTCTTTCACCACTGAGTATGATGTTCACTGTGAGTTCTTCATATACAGCTTTTATTATGTTGAGGTAGTTTCCTTCCTACGTTAATTGTTCTTGTCATGAAAGGGTGCTGAATTTTGTCAAATGCTTTTTCTGCATCAACTGAGGTATCATGTGTTTTTTATCCTACATTCTGTTGATATGACACATGAAAGTGCTCAATTTTTTAGGTTAAACCATCACTGCATTCCAGGAATATACCCCTACTTTATCATGGTTTGTAACCCTTTTAATATGCTGGATTCTGTTTGATAGCATTTTTTTTGAGCATTTCTGCATCAATGTAAATAAGGGGTATCGGTCTGTGGTGTTCGTATAATGTCTTTGGCATTGGTACCAGAGTTATGCTGGCCTTATAGAATGAGTTAGGAAGTGGTCCCTCCTCCTCAATTTTTTGGAAAAGTTTGAGAAAGACTATAATTAGTTCCTCTTCAAATGTTTGGTAGAATTCACATTTTTTGTTGAAAATTTTCTGATTAGTGATTTGATAACCTTACTAATTATATGTCTATTCATATTTTTTAAATTTCTTCATAATACAGTTTTGGTAGGTTTTGTGTTTCTAGGGATTTGTCCATTTCATCTAGGTTATCCAGTGTGTTGACATACAACTGT